TATAAAGCTTCTGAAGTGAACCTGGAATGTTCAGCGGTGCTTGCGGTGGTGTTCACAGATGTTTTTGCCGTCTAGTCTTGACCCGCAACCTTCTGCACATGCAGTTTAAAGAGGCAAGTCTAATGTATAGATGCTTGCCTTCCTATATGCCTGTGCACTGGAAGGTGTGCGCTGACGGGCGTGTCAGCAAGAGGAGGAGTAAGGCAGACAACCGTCTGTACAGACTGCCGTGGGTTGCTTGTTCAGCCTACATAGTTTCTGTAAGCAGATCTGAAAGGAAATGACAGTGGAGGGATGGAAGAGAAAAAGCAAAAGGAACAGGGAGAAAAGGAAGCTGAAGAGAAAGGCTATCGCTGCTGCGAAGGCAGATCCCTTAAGCACAGGAATATTTACACAAGCATTGTATCGAGACGGCAGCTAACTGCACACGGAAGAATCCAGCCACCTGTGTAACACCGAGGATTAGCCAAGGACTTCAGCTGTTGAAGCCACCAGACACACACTTCTGGGGTGTGCCGATTCTCTAGAGCAGACAAGATATCTAATTGCTGTCTCAGTAAAGCCTTGTGTAAATTTACAGTGCCACAAACCCCCAGACTAATAATCAGAGCTCCGTGAGCAGCAGAAGTAATGAAGTCAGGCTGCCAAGAGACCAGTTTCCTAGATCCCTGTTCCTTCCCACTGAAATGATGCACACACCATCCTATCTCATCCCCAGCAATGCTGCCAGACCCTCACATAAACTCTGCCACCAGCAGGCACCAAATGCTTCCAGGTCTTTTACAGCCATCTTCGACATTTTTCCTTCCTCCTCCCACCCCCAGCATGCTCTACCCCTTCTCAGGTCCCTAAACTGGCAGGTGGGAAAGGGAAAGGCTGTATTTATCGGGCAGCCAGCCAAGCAGAACAGATAAATTGCGAGCTCGCACCACAGTCCCTCAGACTAAATTTGGCTAAAATCCACTGCAAAATTTAAGAACACTGGGAGGGAAAAGAACGAGAGAAATGACAGAAAACGTAATCCTACAAACCTCACCTCTGCCAGAAAGGTGAAGATGATCACCAGCCAGATCATCTGACTAGTGGAAATACGCCTGGGCAACAGGATGACTCTGCAGGGAGCTCTTGCATCAAACTTCTTAGTCACCATCACAGGTTGGGTTTCTTTTCCCATCGTTCTCCCGTAAGTTTCAGTTCCAGCTTTGCCACTTGGTCACAGCATCACTGTGCCATTTGCTTCAGAGCCTGGATTTTCCCTTTTAAAACACATAGGTTACTACACCCCAAAATGTAATGACATTTCAGAGGATGCATTAATGAAGGGTTTAGCAGCTGAATTACGTCAAAACCTAAACCCTTGTGACTGTTAACATTTTAATGCTCTGCAAGTACCACAAAAGGAGCCCTAGAGTCCATGCTTGGCTAGTTAAAAGAAAAGCTGAGGAAGAATAGATAGTTTCAAGGCAGATACAGTCAGCAAACTTTCTTTAAGCTGGTAAGGTTTCTAAGTACATCGGGTACAAAAAAATATTTTCTCCTGTGTCTAGGTTTGCTTCACAGTGGCTAATGAACATCAGTCCCAAAGAGTAAATTTACCCAACACCTCAGCCTGGTACTGTAGTGATAAACTCCTCATGAGATTATTTTGAAAAGCTGAACCTGAGAGTGCTCCTGTAAGAGCTGCAGACTCTGCTAAAAACAACTGCCTTTGATTTTCACACTTTGCACTAGTGGCTGCTTTAATTATAAACCTGAATTGTAATAAGGGCCTGACCTCCTGACTTAGCTATAACAGTTGAAAATATTTACCTTACATGGGCAAAAAACCTACAGGGCAGAAGGAGAAAAAAAAAAAAAAAAAGAGGAAGACATATACATAATATAGCTGAGACATAACCACAAGAGTGACAGCAGAAGTGAACATTTAAACCCCACCGTTTCAATGTTAGATTCTTTAGAAATAGTCCAGATTCTATCTCAGAAAAACTGTGAAGAAACGAACTGGGACACAAGATCAGATTGATTGTTTTCATTTTTCTCGTAGGCTAATAGCCCAAAACATCTCAGAAGAAGGAAAATAATTTTAACCATTAGTGACTTAACTCAGCAGAAAACAAAAGTCTCAGCTTCTCTTAAAAATTAAAGTGAACACACATCTCAAACCACATAATCATACATGGTTTCACACTGTGGGATTTAGCAGTCTGCTGCATATCTTTTTAAGAAAAAAAAGCTTCTAAAAGTGAGCAGATGCAGCAGTCTGAAAGTGTCTTGGATATTCAAGACATACAAATTGTCTCTTTTTGTCTCAGAAAGGATCTGGTTTTGCTTTTCCTGTTGAAAGTCACCTACACTAAAAAAATGCAGAATCATAAGAAAGGTAGCATAAAATACATCAACTCCACTAGAGGACTAAGCATCAGTTTCTGATAATAACGCACCCCTTCTTCCCTGCCTCTCTTTAGCTGAGAAATTCCTGTTCTGGCTGTTCCAAAATTGTGTCCTTACAGGAGAAGACACATTCTCCCGCCAGGCTTGCTAACCAACACCAGAAGTAGAAGACAGGAGTAGAAAATGGAGTATGATTGCATATCTGTGTTCTATTCTGTACCTGTATAACAAAACCAAAACTTGACAGAAAATTACATTGCTGGAAATTCCTTGCACTTGAACTAAAGTTTTGTGTCCAAAGGATGAGGGCTGTGTTTGACAGTTTAAAGGTATTGCTCATGCTGGCTGACTGTAGCATCTCTAAGCAAGCCTACCTCAAGTACAGTTATTTAGTTGCTATTTATTATATTTAATGGTTTTGTTGCAGCCTACAACGCTTTCACCCTACAGACAGGAAGCCACAATATTGCAGCTAAACTTACATAGCTGGTCATCTTCATTTCCTTCTTGAATTTGGAAAGTAGCCAAAGCGGTAGAAATCAGTAAGAAACCCTCATCCCCACAGATGCCAGAGGAAGTCTTGGTGCACTAACTGCTACAGGCCATAAGTTACCCGAGACTCCTTGACAAGTAGAAGTTCAGCCATGTGAAAGTGATTCTAAGAGGGAAGAACCATCAACAAGTTCACGTGCTCAACATTCCTTCATACAAACAAGCCTTTTGAGTCATCATCATCTCTTGCGTGTGGCAGATACATGCTCTCAAATGCAGATGTGCCAAGGAGCTTCTGACACCCGTCAGGTGATACAGAATAGATTCACAGAAAAAACAGACATTTAGGAGGAAAAAAAAAAAAAAAAAAAAAAAAAAATTGCGTGTGGCAGATACATGCTCTCAAATGCAGATGTGCCAAGGAGCTTCTGACACCCGTCAGGTGATACAGAATAGATTCACAGAAAAAACAGACATTTAGGAGGAAAAAAAAAAAAAAAAAAGAAAAAAAAAATCACTTGAGATATTCTACAAAGAACAGAAAAAGCTCTCTCTTTAGTATTTCACAGCACAAAATCCAGGAGTAGGAACCACCACCCAAGCTACATGTGCATCAATACTTTGGTTTGGCACCATCACTTAGCTTTGGTGGATGGTACTCCATTCATGGGGCAAAAGCCAGGCCTGGTAAGAAACACTGCGTTCAGCTCAATATTACCTACTTGCATTAAACTTCTACCAGTTAGCAGCTGGTAAGCTATTACTCAGTTAGTAACAGATTATATGTTAAATATTGGCTATATTAGGAATAAAATCTTTCCAAACACATAAAAGGAAATGTCTCCATTGCAGTTGTAAGCACAGTGACATTTTACTATGTGCCAGGCATCACATAAGTTTTCCTTAGGCAACCGATAGCTTGCTACGCTACCTCTGTGAGAGGAAAAACTTCCACTCGTTATCTTCCCAATAACTTTGCTGTCTTCATAGACATGGGATGACAATAGCCAGGGGCACACCTAAAATCTTTGGATTTTAACACGCACTGAACTGCTAGGAAAGATTTTAATTGGAAAGGTCACAGGAGACAGACTTCAGAGCGTATCTCCAGCTAAGCGTCACCTTTTCAGCAATACTCTCATCAGGGGTTACATAAAAGGCAGACACTTTCTAGCGATACACCCATCTACCTTGCAGCAGGCCCGCCTGCCTTGTAAAGGTAAAGCTTACGTCCTCCAGAGTTGTACAGCAGAAATGCGGTCTTGCAATCCATAGCTGTGGGAGGTAGGAGATCAGTCTGTACTCTCCACCCCTCTTTTTGTAGCCATGCACTGATCAGAGCTAGAAACCAGAAGCTGATAAAAAGTGAGGTGCTTGTGAAACTTCCCAGACAAAAGTGAGACATTCTGAAATTTGTTCGTATTTTGGTTGGCTGCTTTTTTAGTCTGAAATTGAAAAATGTATGTAAACCCAAAGATGCTCAGCATCTTCAGTTCTATTTGAACAGCAAATTGCATTCGGTCTCTCACATCCCAGATTAGCATCCTAAATCTCGGTGCGCTGTGGTGCAAATGGATGGATGGATGGGTGCTCTTTGCTCCCTCTCCTTTGCGGTAACAATCTTGATGCGGGAAGCTTTCTCGGTGTCGAATCCAGTACATCTGCTGGAAAAGATTTAGCTCTGATAAACTAGTATTTTCCAACAACAAACAAAATTTTGTCACTAAACTTACAAGCAGTTCTAGCAACACAATAAAGAGCAACTTGAAATCAGACCTCAGCCTTTCTACTCACATCCTTATTGTCTCCGTGATTTCCATTAACGGATTATGCATCTTTTGTATTTCATTATTGAGATGAGGGGAAAATTCATTCTATTCCATATTGGACTGGAAATAACAGGGGACAAGGTCTTCAACGTGTTCAAACATAAATCCTTGGAGCTTCTAGTTCTTAGTATTACTCCCAGTTAAGCAAAGAAGAGTGAAAACCAGTCTCAGGACTTTGTGATAATTATTCCCTATAACCCCTGTCCATTCTTAGTCTGTCTCACACAAGTAACCAAGCAATTTACTGTCCCTCTGGAAGTACAAGGAAAAAAAGGAAATGCAACAAATATTTTTAGAATTTTATTAACTTGAACAAAAAATGCAAATGAAAGGGTGGTCAGTTGTTTGGAGAGGATTCAGAAACACATTTAAATGCCAACTGAGAATATTTAACAAACTATGTACAACTGTGTCAGCCATCAACTGCTGAACACTAATCAATGTAATCCAAATCTTCTGGGATTCCAAAACTTTTGTCAATTCTGCTCTCTTCAAATCCAAATTTACGTTTGGCCCAGGACTTTATTGAAAAGATGTTATCTGTAAACAGAATGAAAACCATTAAGATTTTCATGTTTAGAAAAGCATGAATTATAGTCTTGGCTACAACAAAATCCTTCTATTTGCACTCTCTCTGTGTATATGAAAAAGGGACATAGTGAGGAACATCATTATAAAGTAGATTTAGAACAGAAAACGGGAGGCTTTTGCTAATGATATACTTTTACTCAGTACTAAGTAAAGTATGTCATCTTTTTTTGAGGTTACCTTTATCTTTTCTTGCTCCTCTTCTGTGAGAAGACTGAAAGCTACAATTACAGTGTAAGCCTGCTATAGAGTGATGAGGAAAGTGTGAATATGCATAGTAAGTATTTTATAGGTCCTCTTTCAACTAGACACCTACTGTGTGCCTGTCTACAACTGCGAAAATCAGATTCAAATTAACTACAAGGTCCTTTCTAGTCCTGCATGTTTGTTCAGATAATGTACGTTTTGTTTGAAAGTTAAAAAGACATTCAAGTAGCTTTATTTTAGTCAGCATTTCTCTTTTAGCATCACATTACTATTATTTTAGCATGTACATTCTCTTCAATGTAACATCATTTTTCACTGCAGTATTGATTGAAACTCACTACTTCATTGCTAACACCCATAAATCGCAGCATTCCTTAAGACAGGAAGTGTTCTCTGTGTCTGCACACCTTAGAAATATTTTCTCTTCTTTAACCATCAGACATTTGGTTTTAAAACCGTCTCTTCAAAAGAAAAATATGCTACAGCATATAACTTAGTTGTCTAATTAAACAGCAAAGTACTTTCTACAGGCTGCGGCATAGTTCCTTTAACTCTCTCAAGACCTTGAGAACAACAGCCTGTCATCAACAGTAGAAAGCCCTGACAACAGTACTCCCAGAAGTTATTTTCAAATACATAACTTTATTTCCCCATATGCAGTGAGCAACCCAGTGCAAATGAAGATATAAAATAATAATAGTCAAAAGACTGTGACAACGATATCCTGCTGCACTTGGCATAACCGATGATAGTGAGCAGTCCATCAGTAGTAGATGAATTCTAAACAAAAAGATTACAAACAATATTCTAAATAATTTAAAAAAAGTAAGGACATACATATTGCTTGCTCTGCAAAATGGAAATATATAGCAATATAGCAAAGCTAAGCAACAACAGAAAATTGAGTTCAACTTCCATACAAGCGTTATCACAGTAACCTTCCTCAAAACTGTGCAGCATTTTTCCTGCATGTCAAAGCTGATGAATTAGTTTTAGAAATACCTACTTTATATTAGCATCCATCATAAGGTTCCACAAAGCATTCTACCCTTTAGAAACAGACAAAAATTCAGAAAAGAAGAATGAAACTTTCTGAATACCTGGACACCACCATTTCCTGTGTCTTTCGATTAATGTTTTCCTCATCTTAACAGATTTTAACTCAACCAAGAAAATGAGCTGCAGGTTTTAACACGGTGTGCAAGATTGCACCAGAAGAACAAATATGTTATGTGATGTGAAGTACATTCAGTAACTAAACTGAGAAAATGGTTTTTTTTTTGAATCATGATGATTTGTAAGCAAAATATATTTCTGCATGTTTTTATAAGTAAGGGCTATCCTACATCAAGTCCTAATCAAATTTAAAATTTTTAATGATGAGTAGGTCTTTTACTGAAATTGCTCTAGTCTGAAGCTGTGTTAAGCAATATAAATGCACACGCACCAGTCCATCTATTGGCTGCCTCCATGGCTATTTTGTTTGTTTTGCCTGAAATAGAGAAGAAAACAAACAAACAAAAAAGCACACATCAGAGTAAAATCATACAATAGTTTCAAGGCACAGAGATTAAATTTTTATTGATGTCATTTTTAGAGCACCACACAATATAAGTAAGTTATTCTACTGCTTCCAAACCCTTCTTCTGTTTTATGCTTTTAAGGTTCCAGCAAGCACAAAGCTAAGTTAAAGAAAAACAGGAGCAAAGGAACATAAAAGATACCATATGAACAACTGTGAGTTTCTAAAAGGTATTTTAAAATAAAATAATCCCAGTTTGGTTTGCCTGGGGGCTTAATTGTCTGTACAGAGATTGGAACTAGATACATGGCCTGAAGCTACTGGAGGCAACTAAGATGGAAAATATTTTATAATCCTCTCTATACGTAAGTAATCCATCACATAGGTATGCATGACTCTATATAGATAAGGAAAATGACAAGGGTAGCAGTCTATCACATTAATCCAAAAGTTTATCATATAGCTCTGGAAGGTCTCCCGGGCTTTGAGAACCTCCTCAATGAAATGAAGACAAAATAATGCTCCTGGTTATTAAACTCGGCTTCCCTCCCTTACCACCGCTCCAGATCTACATACATAATAGTAAATTACCATTACTACAAATAGCTTTTATATAGTTTCCATGAGGCAAAACAGTATCAAGAAAAATTCCTCTTAGATCACCTTGCTCCCATTAAAATAAGTACTGAATCAAATCAAGCAGGTTGGTTTGTAATGTGGGAATTTATCAGAATCATTACGGTTCTCACGCCTACACATAACTTAGCTATTTCCAGTCAGTCTTGTTAGTACTTGCATGATAATACTCATTTGAATGGTCAGCAAGAAATTTGTCTCCAGGGGTACTGAGAAGTGAATATATGATCAGGTATCCATTGTTATAAAGATTATGCTTCAGGCAAAATTAAATTATGTTGAAAAATCATCTGCTAGTACACAGGAAGCTAAGCACTCATTATTCTACCCTTAATACTTCAGTAAGTGATCTGAAAAACGTTTTAATCAGAGTAAAACCCTGTTTCAAAAACAGTGCAGTTTCTAGAAGTGGCCTACAATTAGAAAGCTTGGGCATAGCATGAAGAAAAGCAAAAAAGAAAGATGGGGGGAAAAAAAAAAAGGGAGTGGGTGAGAAGATGGCATTTTTGCTTGTTTGCATACACCAGAAATTCAAATTATTCCTAGCTTGAGAGAGATATTCCTTATGTCCTTTGCTGACTGCTTGTTGCCACCCCCACTTGTTCAGTTCCATGACTGGCAGCACTCTGACAACGTACTGGCAGCCAACGGCATTTTGAACAATACTTTACCTAACACTACATAAAGCAAGTCTGCAAAGTAAGGGCTTTTGCTGGTCAAGATTTTAAATGTGTTAGCTGTGATACTTCACGCAGCATTTTTCTGAAACTCTAGAGTAAAACTGGAAAGCTGTGTTTGACTCCAAGTAATGAAGTTTGAAATGAAGGGGGGGAAAAGTAGGATAGTATTAAACTCCACGGATCCAGAGCTGCAAGGTGACAGCATCTTGATGGCAGGTGAGCCAACCTAGTCCACAGCACCTGCCAGGTCTCAGCAGAAACCTCTGCTTTGCTGGAAGCAGCCAGCCAGCTGAGTCCTGTGCTTCTGCATCACACAGCAGCTCTAAGTTCCTGCAGCTTTCAGTACGCAGCCCTGTGCTTAAAGCACAGTGACCATACAGTACAGTACATTAAAAAAAAAAAATAGCAGCAGCATGGTGTGTTGTCACCCTTCAAACACTGTTTATGTGTGTTAAAATACACACAGGCAATCATGTTTTAAAAATGTGATTTCTTACTTCTGTCAAAGAAAAGGCTGAGGTGACCAACAGATACAGGTTGGGCAACAGGGTGGTTAAAATGGCGGTGGCTGCCTGTAACCGAGCTGTGGCTAAAAATGAAATCATGGTAGGAAGAGGAGAAAGCTGTAACGGGGAAATCCCACAGTGGGCAGTGCCTTCAATGACTTAAATAGTAGAGAAATAACAACAAAAAAACAACAAAAGACACTCCTGAGAGTAAAAGTTATACAAATAAAATGAAGAAACACCTTAACCACGTCATTCTTTCCATGCACCAGCTCGAACTGATCACAGACTGGCAGCAAAGTGTCATGGTAGAAGTGTGGGAGGATCACAAGTGGAGACAGAACTTCAGGATGGGGAAGGTGACATTCAGACAATCTGGCTGAATATCAAAGAAGAGGCTGCCTCAGTCCTTCAGAGGCTGGGAACACACATTCCCCACATTACTCTGCTGCCAGCGGGCTCAGGGTTGGGGAAACAAGAGCCACTTGTAAAGCCTCAGGCATGTGACATCTCCAGGAAATGCATCCACAAGAGGCCGGGGCAAGTGTTTGCTGCTTGTGATTTCCCATTTACACTGGCTGGCCCACACACGCATGTACACGATAGCACCACAGGGATGCAGGTATGGATTTATTCTGCCATGTTGAAAGTTGCTTAGACCATCAGGCATATTGTATCAACAGCAATGTCAGCTAGCTTGGCAAATTCAAGGCACCCACATGTTCCTCACGTCCAGCCTGAGCAAGCTCATGCAATCAAGACAGCTTGCACTGTCTCTTGTCATCAAGTGAGACTGTCACTGCCACTGCTGCAGGATGGCACTGCAGTCTGCTTAACCACTAATTCCTTCACTTAAATTTTCCACTCACATTTCTTTTTTCAATTTGGGGTGAGGGAAACGCACCTCATCCATTCTCCAGAAACTACTATGCCATCACCTCAGCTGTTAACTCATGGATATGGGCTGAGCATTTAGCTATCTGAAGGCAAGATTGAAGTCCCTCGGGATCAGGCTCAACTCTCGCCTACAATTCCACTGCAGGATCTTGTCTGCCTGCTGTATCCAACACCATGCCTGAAAGAGGAAGGAGAAACAGGTATTGGCAGTTATGGACCTGCATCACCTGAAGACACCAGCTACATCTGCATCATCGCCAGCATCTTCCAGAGGCCCCCGAGTCCATCACAGGAACCGAGAGAAATGAAGAAATCTGCACCTTGACTACTTTCTAGAAACCTTTTATAGTTGCTTGTTGGAACTTTCATTGGTTGCATCATCTGTATGTGAACATGCATGGTGGGTGAGGGAAAGGAGGAGTAGTAAAACAGACATCCCCTAGACACATCTACTTTGTGTACTGATGTAACTCAAAGTCACGCTACTTCTGATTGCCTATTCTCTAGCTCCACAGGATCATACAGCCATTGGCTTCCTGGTTTTTAAGACTGCAGTGAAAAAGAAAGTTTAAGACCTAAAGAAGACAATAACATGGGAACTTAAAAATGTATACACCAAAGAATAATCAGGACATGAACTGTGGGAACTGTAAAAAGGAGAAACTCAGAGACAGCACTGAGGGCAACTGGCTAGTTGCCAAAACCACCACAACCATTGGGACGCAAGCTCAGCTGGAGTCCTGCTGATCCTCCCACTGACCACAGCTGCTCTATCAGAAGTTGATTTTTGGCAGCTACTAAATAGTGCTCCAGTATGGAAGCTGTGCAAGACAACAAAAGGGCCAAATGTGCAGGAGAGGTGAGCAATACAGGAGACAACATACGTTCCAGATGCTTCCAGATGTTCTCATTACCACTATTAGGCCCTAGTTACGCTCTACTTTCTATCTATACATCTGCACATAGGCTGACAATATATACAATTGCTGTCTGGAAGCAACAGAGTAATCCATTTGCTCTGGACATTACATATTTATTTCACCAATTTGCGTGACTGCATCAATAGACTTTCTTGCTCCCATGCCTACAGGATACAAAGTCATTGACTTGGCTGAGACACACACCTGTATCCTCCACTGACCAATTTCAAGCACGCTTGGCATTTTCTAAGCAGGGAAACGGAAGCTTGCATTTTCTCTTCTGAACTGAACAAAAGCAACCACTGTGCATACAGCAATGCAGGGCCCAGGAGCAGCATGGCTTGCAACACTAGTCTGTTACGTTAGCAAAACACACCTGGAAACATGCCCGAAAGGCTAAGGGTCAAAGAGTTAGCTTTGACTGGTCCTCATGGAAGTCTCTTCTTCCCTCAACCCCAGGTATCTCTGGAGAACTGCAGGGAACTCAAAAAGCCCAGATTCTGGGAACTGAACCATTACCCTAAGCATCTGTGATTGTCCTTATCACAGGGACAAGCCCTTGTATCCCCTTAGAGGAAAGCAAAGGTAGGGAAAGGAAGGCCCAGCAGCAATGACTGTCTAAAAAGAAAGTGAGGAAGGGTTGGAAACATGCTTTTTAATGCAGGCGAGTGACATTCTACCAGTGACCCGCAGGGATTCAGGAGCAGGCCAGGAGACAGACCTGACAAAAGGGTGTGTGGACAGCTGTAGGAGGTGCAGTAAGAAGCCTTCTAAAGCAAATGGACAGCACCTGGTCAGGAGTGAAGGCCAGCAACACAAAAATGTTAACACAGCAATGTTTCTGAACAAATCTGAACTGGCAATATATATTGGCTCAAATCTTAGCACGGTCAGGACACATTGTTTTTGATCTGACACAGGAAGCCCTACAGTCATTCTCAGCATACTGCAGAACTACAGCCTCTCCTCTTTCCTTTCCTCCTTCCCCCAAATTCACTCACTTTTTTCCTGGAAGGGGTGGTGGTGGGAATTAAAGGTCCTATTTGCATTCCATTTTGGAATGCACAAAAACTGTTGAAGCCTCAAATATTTCCACAGGAGGGGAAGACCACTACATGCCTCATCAACACAAAATATATGCTCCAGGAGACTTAAGTTAGTCTTTCTATCAGACTTCAGACACTTCCACGGGTGAAAAGCAATTGCCATAGCAACAATCACCACCATCTCCTCACAAACATTTTCCAAACCTACTTTCAGGTTCTTTAAAAAAGCTTTTTTAAGTCCTGCACATATCATTAAAGGAATACTAAGGAAGCAGTCACTGAATA